CTGAGAGTGGAGAAGGTATCCGCCAAGTCTGTAAGATGATCACTACTCCGTTTGCTCTTTACCAGCATGTCGTCTATGTAGACCTCCATGGTGTCGCCGATCTGCCTCTTGAACATCCGATTCATCAATCTTTGGTATGTTGCCCCGGCGTTCTTTAACCCAAATGGCATCACTTTATAACAATAAACTCCCTTCGGAGTGATAAACGCCGTTTTTTCTTGGTCCGGGGCATAAAGAGGGATCTGATGATATCCCGCTCGAGCATCCAGGAAGTCCATTCGTTCATATCCGGCTGTGGCATCTACCAGCTGGTCCACCTTCGGCAGGGGGTAGTCGTCCTTGGGACATGCCTTGTTAAGATCTGTGAAATCCACGCAGACACGCCATTTCCCCCCTTTCTTTTTTGCACATACTGTATTGGACAGCCATTCTGGGAACTGTATCTCTCGAATGGCGCCAGCTCTCAGGAGTTTGTCTATTTCCTCATTGACCGCGTTGGCGTGATGCGGGGCCATACGTNAGCACATACTGTATTGGACAGCCATTCTGGGAACTGTATCTCTCGAATGGCGCCAGTTCTCAGGAGTTTGTCTATTTCCTCGTTGACCGCGTTGGCGTGATGCGGGGCCATACGTCGTGGCCTTTGCTTTACTGGCTTNCCGCGTTGGTGTGATGCGGGGCCATACGTTGTGGCCTCTGCTTTACTGGCTTGTGAGATGGGTCGACATGCAGCCTGTGAGTAATTATCTCAGGGTCTACTCCTGTCATTTCCATCTCGTTCCAGGCGAACACGTCTGTATTCCCTCTTAAGAACCTGATCATCTCCTCCTGTTCGGCTGCGGGCATCGAGGTCCCAACTAGGAAATACTTCTCTTCTTCTCCTTCAACCAAGGGCACCTTCCGGAGGTCTTCAACCGATCGTTCAGCTGGGTCCACCCGGGGGTCATCCATCCCCGGACGCCCGGACTGTAATTGCTATTTTTCTATGATCTCTTCCGGTGCTCGCCCCTTCTCCTGGCTGGACGCCCCGGCTCGGACGGCCGAATAAAAACAGTTCTTCGCAGACGCTTGATCCCCCCGGATCTCCATGACGCCCTCTGGCGTGGCGAACTTTAACTTCTGGTGGAGAGTGGAGTGCACCGCTCCCAACGCGTGCAGCCATGTTCGCCCCATAATCACGTTGTAAGGAGAGTCCGTGTCGATCACCACAAACTCTGTGTCGATGACGAAGGGACCAGTGGCGACCGGTAATGTAATTTTTCCCACGGGCAAGGCGAAAGAGCCGTTGAACCCGATGAGGGGTGTCCTGATTTTGGTTAAGTCTTTGGGGCCAAAGCCCATCCGCTTCAAAGTCTCGAAGTACATCACCTCCGAGGAGCTCCCTGAATCTATCAAGATTCTCTTGACATCGAATTTCCCTATCTTTAGGGTTAAGACAAGGGCGTCGTTATGAGGAATCACCACGCCCGTCAAATCCGCGTCAGAGAACGTAATGCCAAGCTCACCCATCCTGGCCCTTTTACTTGATGGCCCCACATCTCCTTCGGCTACCTTTCTGGTAAAAGCTACCCTCTTGAGGTCGGATTCGAGCTCTTTGGACGTGGGGCGCTCCAGTGGACACACATGGATGACGTCTATGACGTTGTTTGGTTCCTCGGTCGGGGCATGGGCTCGTTTCTCTTCTGGCCTAGGCTCTATGTATTCTTTCAGGTATCCATCTCGGACTAAGTTCTCCAAGAATGACTTGAACACCCTGCAGCTCTCGGTGCGATGCCCGACATCCCGGTGATATGAACACCTTACTTTTTGATCACGGGTGGAGGGGTCGCTTTGCATCCTGGGCGGCCATTTGAAGAACGGCTCGTGTTTGATTTTATGGAGCAACCTGAAGATGGGTTCCTTGAAGACGGTGTGAACTCCTCTGGACGAACCCCCTGGATGGGGTAGCAATCCCTTTCGGGGAATATCTTCGCGCTCTTTCTCCTTTCTCTTGGATTGGAGGGCTCGGCCTTTGTTGCTTCCCATCTCGTCCTCGACCCTTGAGTACTTGTTGATCCGGGCCATCAGTTCCCCCATATCCGAGGGAGTCTTCTTGGTCAGGGATCGGTACAGGTCCGTGTCCCTCGCCAAGCCGAGCCGGAAAGATGCTGCTGCCATGACCTCCGAGCATCCCTCGACCTCATTGACTTCTTCCCAGTATCGGATGGCGTACTGGCGAAGAGTCTCGGATTCCCTCCTCCTGAGGGTCAGCAGTGATCCAATGTCCTTTGGGCGCTTACTCCCCGTGATGAATCGGGTTAGGAACTGCCTTGTCAATTCTTTCCAGGACCCAATACTGTTTGGGGGAAGCGCCTCGAACCACCTCATCGCAGAGTCCCCCAAGCTCATAGGGAACACCCGGCATAGAAACCGTTGGTCCGAATGATAGAGGGACATCATCTGCTTATATTGTCTGATATGGGCTTCGGGATCGGATCGCCCATCATAGGTTTTGAACCGTGGCACGACGAACTTTCTTGAGACATCCATCTCACTGATTTCCCTCGTGAAGGGTGTTTGCATGACTTCGTCCTCGGCCTCGTCCTGGATCGTCTTGCCCTTTCTTCTGGAGTCTAATCGGGCTCTGAGATCTACTTCTTCCCTTACGGGATGCCTCCTGAAGTCTCTGGGTTCGTCGGTAAGCCCCTCGTTTCCTGGGCGTCGTGTAGATTGGGTTGAGTCCTCCTCGGATTCATCTCCCTTCCTCCGTCTGGACAAACCTCGCCGGAGGTCGTCCAGGGCCAATGGCCTCGCTTTCCTGGAATAGTTGTCAAGATGACATTCGCCGGCTCTGGGTCGCTTCGGGGCCCTGGAGCTTTCTGCTTTGTGATCTAGGTGGTTTCTTAAATCCTTCGTCTCCGCCTCGTGGACGGGGAGTCCTCGGGAAAGGAATGAATCCCTTGACCCTCCGCCTGAGGCGGCANAGGGCCAACGGCCTCGCTTTCCTGGAATGGTTGTCAAGATGGCATTCGCCGGCTCCGGGTCGCTTCGGGGCCCTGGAGCTTTCTGCTTTGTGATCCAGGTAGTTTCTTAGATCCTTTGTCTCCGCCTCATGGACGGGGAGCCCTCGGGAAAGGAATGAATCCCTCGACCCTCCGCCTGAGGCGGCAAACTCGTCGAGCCGGCTAAGGACGTTTACATTGTCCTTCTCCAGCTGACGTAATCTATCGCCAAATTTCTCTTC